TTATATAACTCCGATTGGATTCGTCTGAAAGAAGAAAGTCATATACACCTAGGAAGGCTTGAGGGTGAGTAAAACACAGGCTAATTTTAATTTTTGGGTGAACTAAGTTAGCAAAAGTTTAACGTTCCCACAATCAAACCATTCGTGGAAACAATGTAGAAATGCGAAAGAAAAAAAGACTAGCTTACCGTATCGATACTCAGTCGAACAATAATCCATCTTCTCATGCTCCAAAGTCCATTTATCATCGTCTCAGGCACAGATTAGATGATTCAGATGATAAATTATCTTGTTAATGCAGCGTCGTCCATTGTTTGCTGCGTCACAGGCAGCTAACGTTTGAAATGCGAACCGAAGCTCACAAGGCTTAAAAACTACTCACAGCTTCACAAACCACTGGCTTATATTAATAACGCGAATAATTATTCTGTTCAATTAAATCCCGCTGACGAATCCAGTTTGCCTGTAGTAGCCTACACTGTTCACATCACATCACATTTGAATTGAGCGCGAAAGCAATCTATCCCACAATGCAATGCATTTACAGTATGATACTGTATTACAAATTTAGCGGGCTGAAAACAGAAAACTGCTGTATATTTACAGACATTCTGTAAAATATACAGCATGTTACTGTTTTATAAAAATACAGTATAATACTGTTAGAAAATACCTGTAAATTTACAGTAAAGTTTTACAGTGTATGTATTCGCATCAATGCTCATAAGCATGTCTTTCTGTACCAGAAAGATGGAGAGATAGACAGAAAGAGTCTGGCATGTTTCCACACACGACAAATATCTTCAGTGTGATAATGTAATGTGATGCCAACATCCAGCATCCCAGAATCCCAAACACACAGCAATGGTGTAATTTCACCTGCTCCTGTCTCATGGTACAGCAGAGCTTGAAAGGCCATATTCAGAACAGATCAATTGGTGGTAATGGAGCATGTGTGAGGATATGTCTTTTTATGTGAATTATTAGGTTTATGAGAGGAAGCGAGTGAGACTTTGTGTCTCAGACTGGATGCAATCTGGGATGTGTAATTTTTAAGTAGTGTAATAACGCACAGTGAGGCAGTCATTATCATAAAATAGTCTAGCTGGTTTAAGCTTGCTTGGTCTTTTAGCAGGTCTCCCAGCATGACCAGCTAAGACCAGCCTGACCAGCTAAAAAGTGGCCAAAACCACTTTAAAACCAGCCTGGGAGACTAGCCAAAGCAGCCAATCAGCTAAGGCTGGTTTTAGCTGGGGGGTTTTTTTCAGTAGGGAGTTGTTAAGCTTTGCTATAGCAATAGATAGCTTAAATACACCATAAGTCTCATTGTACAAAAGTTTTGAATGTATGAAATGTATGAATGAAAGTATATGGAATTTTTGGTGGATTTGATAGTCTGGTTTACAAAAACCAGAAGTTGGATTAGTTAGAAAAGATATAGCACACCAAGTCAGACCAGTCTGAAGGTCTGACCCAAGTTTGGTGGTTGTAGCTTGAAAACTCTAGGAGAAGTTAGGTGTTAAATTTTGGCTCAGAAGAAGAAGCTTAAAGGGTTAGATCCCGAGTGAACAATTCTCACTAGGGTTGCCACCCGTCCCTTAAAATACGGAATCGTCCCGTAGGCCTATTTAATGGTAAAATGATGCGTCCTGTATCAAGTCAATACGGGACATGATCGTAGACTGTTTCCATAGCGACGGAGTCTCCAGAGCGCGCGCCGTTTAAGCCCTTTCACACGAGCGCAGCATGCGGTAAACAAACCTGCGCGGTTTAAAACATGGGAGCTCACATCTGCCCTTTGAACACAAGACTCTCCAGATGTAGGGCTGAATGGGAAAGTTATCAATGTGTCTGTCCAGTAAATAATGTTGAACGCGCAGTTTGCAGAGAAGCATTTCAGTTGCTCACGGTGCACTGTCTGACTTAAAGGGACAGTTCACCCAAAAATGAAAATTGTGTCATCGTTTACACACCCACAAGTTGTTCCAAACCTGTAATAATTGCTTTCTTCTGTTGAACTTAAAAGAAGATATTTTGAAGAATGTGGGTAACCAAACAGTTTCTGGTCCCCAATGACTCTGATAGCATTATTTCTCTACC